GAGCCCCGAGTCCGCGAGCGGCGAGCGCCGGGCGGGGCGGCTCCAGAGTCCCGAGGCAGCGGCGCCGCCGGAGAAGGCGCATCTCTTGCCGCTCGCGCCGCTGGGACACCACGGACACCATGGGCCGCTGCACGGGCCGCTGCTCGCTCATCTGCCTCTGCGCGCTGCAGCTGGTGAGTGCCTGCCCCGTGCCTGTTCCGCGCGCCCCTGCTCGGGGACCGATCTCAGCTCCGGACTAGCCTTTCCGGCTCCTCTCCGAGGATCCCCAGCTACTGGCAAAGTGGCTGGCTGGTAGGCGAGCCAGGTGCTTCTACCGAGAGAGCCCTATTCTCCCCACCCCAGCCACCCCGGCTGGGCGCTCACTGCCCTCCAGTCCCCGCGCCACTCGCCAGGTCGCTGCTGCCCGCGGGAGGGCGCGATCTCACTTCTGGTCCCAGGCGCGCTGGGCTTCCCGGCTCCCCCGCCCGGTGTCGCCAGGCAGTCCTGGGGCTGACGCGAAGGCGCTCCCCGGAGTGAGCGACTTCCCCTCCCCTGCTCCTCTGAGGGACAATTGGCTAGAGCACCCTGCGCGCCTTCCTGCGGAAGTTAAGGGGGGGGGTGGAAGGGGGGCTGGAGACTCCTTCTCCTGGGATGTTTAGCGTGGTTTAATTGGGGGGTGCGTGGAAAAGGAGCACCTCGCTCTGCGAGAGTGGAGACCTCAACTCTAGTGGTTCTCACCTTCAGCAGGCTGGAAGGTGGTGCTTGAGGCGTCTGGGCTCAAGAAGAGACATCTGTGTGATTTTTTTAAACAGTCCTTTTCGCCCCTGATCTTCCAATTGCGCTGTAGATTTTGTTGAAATGTTGCATGTTCAGGCAGCAACCGACTGACAGCTGTCATCAGGAAGAGAACAGAGTGAACTGGTTCTCTTTGGCTGGGTGCCTTGTGGCGAGATGAATACGTGTGAATGTGAAGTTGGAAATCCAACTGGAAAGATTGTTAGGTTCTGAGCAAATACTCTTAATACCTCTAGAACCTACACTGACCCTGTGGTCTATTCCACGGTCAATCGAGGTCAAGGCCAAAGACCTTTTGGGTCAGACGTTGGTGTGTGAGAAATTAATAGACATTCTTTTCATTGCACTAAGCACAAAGCCTGTAAGTTAGGGGCTCCTTCATGTTTGCATTTGTTTTGCCAAAATTACAAAGGTGAAAGACAAGCAAAGGGGGAAAGGCTTTCATTGAACCTTCCTGAGGAAGGTCAACTCTTGCAAGACTCATTAGTGAAGGGTGAAGCAATATGGTTGTATAGTCCTTGTTCCCTAATGTTTTAAAATGTTTTCACTTTTCCCTTGCTTCAATGTTTGTTCCAATCTCCCTTAAAAGGTCTGCTATGGATGTACTCATTGTTTACATAATTCATGAATAATTTATGAATTAATAGGAATGCAATCAGTACTATTTGTCTTTAAATCTATTGGACAATTCATTCTGGGTTGTGAAAAACTTACATCAAATGGATTTATAGTTTTCTTGGAAACATAATGTTTAAAATTCATTCAAATATAAGTGTTTTCTTTCACTTCAGGGGAAAAAAAGGAAAATCTATACTTTGGTCTTTAAAAATGGGCATGGTTTTAAAATGGACTTATAAATTAGACAACTGAATACATCTCATGAGCCTTTGACTCTATAGGACTGGATACTCACACTAGATTGTATAATCCACATTGGCACACTTTCTATTTTACATGGAAATAGCTTAATGTTCTCATGCAGCAGGTTTATCAATGTAATAATGATTTCTTTGAATGTCATTGTAATAGTTGTGATAATGACAGTTTAGAGTGTCATAAATTAGTCCCCCAAACCTCCAGTTTCATATACAGTTTCTCCATTGATACTTCTTCAAACCTTGTCTCCAAATTCTATCTTCTATGTATGCTCTTCCTTGATGCTCCAGGTAAATCACCGGGTCCCTTCAGTCTCATAACCATTTGCTTTTTCTTCAGTTATGACACATTTTATGCTCTCTTAAATGTCTTGTTATTTACATATATCACTCATGACTAAACTGTAAGCAATTTGAGGATAAGAACAAACATTATTCATTTTCTTTAACATCTCTGCCAAGTCCTTAGTGCTTACATTAGGAGCTGAAATATATTTGTTGAATTTATGATCATATTTGCAGTTTCCACAGGGCTTTGGCACACATTTTTGTTGTTTTGGGTCTTTGGCAGTAGTGGATTTGAGCTCAGGGCTTTGTACTTACTAGGTAGGAACTCTACTGCTTTTAGTCTTTTTTGTTCTAGTTATCTTCAGGACAGGGTCTTATTTGTTCTCCTGCCTACCTGGACATAGACCCTTTTATTCATACTTTCTGCAGCAGCTGGAAAGACAGGCACAGACCACCACACTTAGATTTCAGATGAGATTGAGAGATTTGTGAACTTTTGCCAAGTGATGAGCCTCCTGTTCATCAAATCTGGAGTAGCTAAGATTACAGGCATGAGCCACCTTGTGTCATTTGAGCATTTAAAAAATATCTTAAAGCTATCTTCTAAGATAGATACTCATTTCTTTTATTTGTTGGTGGAAAAAAAATTGGCACTCATAAAGTTAACCTTTTTTTCAAAATCACTAGTTTTGCATGGTGGCAATAGTAGAGTGATGATAATAACTAAAAAAAACCCTTATTCTCAAATTTAAAAGCCATGTATGTATACATCACATTATATTATAGATGATAATACTATTTATATAAAGGATGTATAGAACATCACTGATAAATCACAGACATAAAATTTCACAGTACTCTATGTCCTCTATGACCTAGTAAGTAAATCTGGCAGAATCTTTTTGTTCAATTTGACAAACTCTTGATTCAATAGTGCTGACATGAATGATGGCCAACATTTTTATGTACTTTATAGAGAAAAAGGAAAATGAAACAAGAAAGACATTACTGGAACTTCATTAATGTCATGAACAGAGTTTTGTGGAATTGGATAAAAATTTCTGAATGCTGAAAAGTTAATTTTTCAAGTCCTTTTGTGTTACTGAGAAAGTAATGGTTACAGACATGATAAAGCTTTAGTTTTATTGTGCATTATTAAAAAATGTTTGCTCATAAATTTCCTGAGTCTAGACAATCAATAAACAAGAAGTCATAATCTATTTCTATAAAATTCCAATTTGTCTTCCATTAATAGTTTCATCTTGGCTTATTTTAAATACGTTTAATACTTCCATTAAACAGATAAAATGGGCATAAACAACCTCAAAAGCATAATGTCAAACCTGGAAAAATAATTAGGATTTCTTTAAGTTTAAATTTGTACAGTTTAATTTTTGATCATGGTTGTGTTTAACAGCTGGCTCACAAAAATACTCTGAGAACTTAACAAAACAACTCTCTGAGCCTGCTGAAGACCAGACCATAATCCAATGGGTTAGGAGCTCCTAACTCCCAGATTTAGTGTGGTACCCTTTCCACTGAAAACTGCTGACACTTGTTTCCCTTTCATGGTTTTCTCTAAATGTTAAATGGTAGGACTTTTGAAGCAGTCATCTAGAGCAGGTGTGGAGTGGGTTTGGCATTTCACTGACCACATTGTTGAAGGGACTCTGCATAGTAATGACTGGATAACATGCAAAATAATCACATGAATAGCATGTTATCTCCTCCTAAAAGTTTAATACATGACAGATTTTCATAAATGATAGTATTCAAATTTCATCTGTACTATAAACGATTCAGTTATTTAAAAAAATCAAACTGGGGAATTCTGATCAGAGAGAATATGTCATTTTTAGGTTAATATCAGTGAATGAACTTCGGTTTACATAATCTATCTCCCTCTTTCTACTTTCCACAGTTCCAGACATTTTTTATCATTACTTTTCTTCATACTTCTACCCAGTGGAGACAAATGCCCTGTGTTATATCTATCTGCTGATTTTGCTAAACAGAATTTTAAATGAATGGCTGTGTGAAGTGACTGTTTTTAGAAGACTAATTCGTTAATGTTTTGCTGATCTGTCAAGTCTTCAAAGAATTTTTAATTACATTTCCATAATAATATTTTTGTAATTTTGATTGTTTTTATAACATATATTCTTTGTTTCCTTTTTAAATATTTAAAAATTATTATTATAATGGTTATGTGCAAAGAGTCACAGTTAGTCAGTGAATTTCCTTTTGGACAATGTCACCCCTTCCCTCTCTCTCTCTCATCTCCCACCTAACAAGTTGTATCATTCATTTTCAACATAGGGTCCATTGTAGTGATTGCTGCATTTTTTTAACCTTTTGACTCTCCATTCTTTTTGAAGAGCTGAAATATCTAATGTTTTCCTGAAGTATGTTTTGCTTTTCTCTTTTACAAATATATATTCTTTTAAGCAGCTATGTCTATAGTCTAGACCTAAAAATCATATCTGATCACATACTTTAGATGACTTTGAGTCACCACACCTAAGTGGGACTTTGTGTAAGTCTAACATTAATTCAGCCTGTCATTCTAGGACTCTTTTCTCTGAGCTTCCTCTGTGAAGTGTTGAACTTACTTTCAGTATCTTCCAAACATCATAGAGGTTGAAGGTATGATCAGTAAAACTTTAACTCTGGATGTTGTTAACAGGAGAGATGAACTATAGTCTGTAACACTTTAAGATGAAAGTCATTTACTATCAAAGCTGATAATGAGTGCACTAAAAGCCAAAGCTCTTGTTGACCTAGCGATAGTCATAGAAACCCTAAAAAGATTCATAAACATGGGCAGCTTAGAAAAAATAGATCACATGCCGAGTACCAGTGGCTCATGCCTGTAATCCTAGCTACCAGGAGGCTGAGATCTTAGAATCAGGGTTCAAAGCCAGCCTGGGCAAGAAAGTCTGTGAAAATCTTATCTCCAATAAACCACCAGAAAACTGGAAGTGGTGCTGTAGCTAACTGGTAGAGCGCTAGCCTTGAACTAAAGAGCACAGGGACAGTGCTCAGGCCTAGAGTTCAAGCCCCACGACTGACAAAAAAAAAAAAAAAGATGACTTATGTGTTTTTGTTTTGGAGAATATCCTCAAAGAAAATTAGCACGTTTTTTTTCTCATTGTAAAAACAGTTCATTAATTTACTACACTGATTTCGAACCATCTGTGAGCAAATGTACCTGTGACACTAAAACTGAAATAAAA